GAGACAGACATTGAGTGGGGAAAGGTTGAGGTTCAGGAACATTGTCACAGGATGCATAGTGACTGTAGAGCGTATCTCCGGTCCCCTCCCGGGTTGGGTGCTGGTGCCACTCTCATTGGCTGTGTGAACAGGGACAGGAGGCCCCCACACTGCCCTGAGTTTCTTAGTCTATAAAATGGGGTGCTAGCAATGCCAGCAAGCTGTGGGGCTAATCAGTAAGTGGTGCCTGGCACGTGGTGAGGCTCAGGGAGTCCCTGCAGTTGATGGCCGGCAGTGTCCTCTTCAAGTCTTGCACCTGGGAATTCTCTCAGGCAAGAAGAATGAGGGTCTGGAGCCAGCTGGCCTCAGCCCTCAACTGTGCCTCTGTCGAGCCCCAGCTTCTCCTGCTTTCCCTCTCTGAGGACACGTACGGTCTTTCTTGGTGGTGGAAGGGTTTCAGAGCTGCTGATTCTGAGGGGCAAGTGGAAGGGGCTTCCTCCTGATACCTTTTTCTTCTCTCAGATCTTACCTTCTGGAGACCACAACCATCCAGGGCGAAGAGCCCAGAAAGAGGACATGGCTAATAAGCGGAAGGAAGCAAGGGCTCAGGTGAGCTCATTGCCATCTCAGTTCCTAATGGGTGGGATTCGTGGTTCCTTCCCTTACTGAAGCCCTCTACCCGATACAGCCTTCTGTAGGATTTGGCGCCCGAGTGCTTTCACCTTGGATGAGTTGGTCACTCTCATGGGTGGTGTAGGGAACACTGCCTACATTCATCCACATGTAGTGTATACTTTAATGTTCCTGATAGGCACCCTTTACTCGCTAATCTCACTCCATCATCCAGTCACTAATTTGACAGTTCAGAAACCAGGTGTCCTATCATTAGAGACTGAGCAAACTTGAACTCTTGGGAAAGTTTATTTCTGTCCCTGCTGCTGTGACTCATCCATGTCTTGCTCCCTGTCCTTGGTGAGATTGATTCTTTTAACTCCTGGGAATTCTCAAAATATTTCTCCCTAGCTTCTTTAGCCTACTGATTTTTTGTTTCTTTGGGTGGTTGGTTGGTTGGTTTTTTATTTTCTCCCTCTTACCTTTAGGATCATTTACTTTGCCTGTAGCACTCATGAAAGCTGATCTTGACCGGCCATTTTCATCTTTATGTTGGGGTACAAGAGAGGCACCCATTTAGGTGAGATGCTGTGTGAACGAAGGCTAGCCATGTGGAGGAGACACAGCTGGAGAGGACTTTTACTCTGAGGGAAGAGGGAAGACTCCACAGGAAGGTTTAATGGGATTCCAGAGATGGAGAAGCAATGCACACAATGTTGAGAAGTGGGGTTCTCAAGCCGTAGGACATGTTTTAACTCCTCTCCTCTGTTGCTGTTTGAGGGCTAAAGGCAAATAATTCAAACTCACCTATAAGATGCAAAGAACAGCCATGCCTAGCTCTAGGATAGGAGAGAGGATGACTTGAGTTAGTGCCTGGTGAGTGTTTAGCTCAGAATCTGGCGTGTGGTAATAGCTCACTGTATAGTGTCTGTGGCAGCTAAATAATACTGTGTTAATAATGTTAAATGTTGATAGAAACTACTTTCCAGTGTTTCTAGAAACCAGGAACAACTACTCCTTTCTCTATTCATCTTCATCTAATACTTGACAAGGAATATGTTGAGGTTTTGTGTTTTAGTTACTTTCTCCATCCTCGAATAATATACTTGACACTCACAAGTTAGACTTGGAAAGGTTTATTTTGGCTCACAGTTTATAGTGCTTTCAGCCTGTAGTTGGCTGGATCCAAGGCACAGTGGCATGGCAGAGAGGCATGAAAGAGAAGAAACAGTCCACAGAAGGGAAAGCAGGAAGCAGCAAGACTTTATTCTTTCCCTCTATACTATCCAGGCTACAAGCCTATTGGATAGTGCCACTCGAACCCAGGGTGGAACTTCCTTCATCAGTAACCGCATCACCCAGTCCTATACTAAACCAATCAGTGGGCTAATCTGTTGTCGAACACCCATGATCCAGTTACTCTCAAAGCCCCTCCTGAGGAACACCTGAGGCTTTAGGGGGGATGTTTTATATATAAACTATAACACTTTGCATGGTATTTCTAATTCTCAATACAGGAGCGCAGTTAATTGTCCTCATTTTACATACATATGAAGAAACTGAAGCTCAAAGAATTCGGGTAACCCACATTCAGCCCCAGTGTATCTGGCCCCGAGTCCAGGCTTAAAGCCTCCAGCAGCTCCGTTGATTCACCTTGGAGAGCATGGCAGCCCCAGTCACATATTAGCAGGGCACTTTTCCAATTTCGGCATTGTCCTTGGACCCACAAGTGTGTGGTTTGGCTTGAGGTGATGGCCAGAATTTGCCATCTCCTGATGGAGCAGCACCATTTCCTTCAAGGCTTTCCCATGGGCCAAGTTCTATCCAGACTGTCTTCATCCCTCTGCATGAGAATCCCATACTGTGTCTCTCTGTGACTGTTGACCATGTGTTAGTGACATGTGCTCCGTTGTGTCACATGTGTCACATTCATTGATGGCAGGTTAAGATGAAAGAAAGAACTGAGTGGCATCTGGGTTTGCTTTTGGGAAGTCTTAGTTTTGGTCCTGCTGCTGCCCTAGTAAAGCATGTGGTCTGGGGTCTTGTTCAAAACTGGATCTCAGTTTTCTTTTTCTTGTCTCTAGTGAAGATTAAACTAAGAGATGGCGCATGGTTCTGCATGCTCAGGTACAACACTTTTTCCCCCTCAGTGCTGGGGATCATAATAGGACCTCTGGTAAGCACTCTACCCCCAAGTTAAACCCAGTCCCTACATGGCTGTCTTTGGTTGCTCAGATTATTTCATGCATTTTTCTTGCGTGCCAGTTGGATTTTAAGTTCTTTGAGGGGAAGCATCATTTCTTGTATTACCCTTGTATGCCAGTACATTATTTTATCATACACATATTGTATGCTCACATTAAAAAGTTTAGAATCTAAAAACTATGTCTAAGTAAAAAAACAAACTCACTTTCTCCTATAACACTCTCCTAACACTTGTCATACCATAGTGTGTGGTTTTTCCACCAGACAAGTTGTGTTGCAGTTGCAGACCCCAGCTAGTGTCCTTTAATTCAGTTCAGTTCTGACACTGTCTGCCTAGAGATAGCATCAGATCCCAGAGGTTGAGAGCTCAGTCTGCCCCTTACTTTAGACACCAGTTTTAAGTTTGGGCTAGTTATGAACAACTGGCTATTAGCTTATGATAAAAGACCAATTTTTTATGTGAAGAAACATGTAGACTGAGAAGTGAGGCATGGGCTGTGGAGCTCCCAGTCCTCTCAGGCTGCAACACCCTTGGGGACCTTCCTGTGTTCAGCGGTCAGGCTCTCTCAGTTATATCTGGGTTTTTGTGAAGGTTTCACTGCGTAGGCAACCTTGATTAAATCATTGGTCAGCTTCCCCTCAGCCCCTATCCTGATGCTCTCCAGGAGTCCCAGCCAGAAGTCAACAGAGAGGGAATGCTTATCACTTTGACGATTTTAAGAATTTTGGGAGCTGTGTGCCAGGAAGTAGGGATGAAGACTAAGACGCAATATCATAACATATGTAAAAAAAGAAAGTAAAATCACCATTGCTCCACTCTCTGGAGGTATTTACTGACAGTCCTTTGTTGTGCATCCTTCAGAATTATTTTCTGTGTACATTATGTATGTGCACTTATATGTATGCATTTTAACATTTTAAACTTTATTGTGGCAAAATGTACATCCCGTATAATTTACCATTTTAACCCCTTTTGGGTGTGAAAATCAGTGGCATTTGAAGTACATATATTGATATTAGTGAGCAATCCTCATCACTGTCCATCTCTGTTGTATATGTGGACAAAATAAGAATTCTGCTTTACGGTAAAGAAGAAAATAGTTTGTTCTGAGCCAAACATAAGTGACCATGATCTGGGAAGATTCAAGATACCTTAATGGCATGTTCTGATGTGATGGAGGTTATTCGAACTCTTATAACCGAAGAACAAAGAGGCATTTTTACATTTAAGAAGTAGTTAAATTTGGCATTAGGTAGCCTGTTACTCTCTACAGGGGGAAATCTTTCCTATAGAAATCAGGTATTAGCCCATTCTTAGCTTTAGGGCTGGTGGAGACTGGAGTTCTGTTAAGTTTAGCAGTACATTGCAGAACATTTACCTAGTAGGAGAACGTGCGGTCAGATAATAAAAGTTAAAATAAATGGCCAGTTTTCCAGAGCTCTTGCAGCAGCCCAGGGTAATTTGGGCTTTGCACCTGGCAGCACTCCATCTCTCACTCGCCATGTTCTCCTCAGCTAAGGCCAGTCTGCAGGATCTTAACACACATATGGCTGCTTCACAGAACTTGGGCCGCACGTGTAGATTATCTCAGTTGTTATCCCTGAGAGATAGGTGTTGAGACAGTTTTGTAGCTTTGTTAAGAATGGAGCCTCTGGGGCCGGGGATTTAGCTCAGTGGTTCCGCTGCCTGCCTTACAAGTGCAAAGACCCGAGTTCAATCCCCGGTACCAATAAAAAAAAAAAAAAAAAAAAAAAAAAAAAAAGAATGGAGTCTCAGACAACCATGTTAATTGGAATTTGTCTTCTACCACTGTGTGTAGAAGCTGTGTGACTTGGACAGATTGACCATTCTCTGTGTGTTATTGTTTTCTGTGCAGAATAGGAACAATGATAAATTCTTCCTTCATTGGGATTATGGTAGAGATTAAATATATTACGCACTAAAGATGAACATGAAGCACTAAGAGCAGTACTTAGCCTGTAAAAGCAGTTGGTAACTGATAGCCATTTTAATTTTTGTAATTACTGTCCTAAAGTTTGAATAAACAGCCAGACACTGCCTTGACATTATTTAATGTAGTTTTCAGCAGTGAATATTCAGGTTTCCTTTTATTTTTATTTTTTTAACCATAACAACCACCATAAGTAACCTTGTGCATGCAATTTTGTATACTCTAATGCATCCTCAACCCAACCCAAATACTGTAACCACTATGGTAAACAGTATACACATTTCAAAGTGTTTCAGTAGTTATCATCTAATCTTCAGAAATACTATTTTCCTTAACACTCACTGAATGCCTTAATCCTTTTAAACATCTTGTAGTGATTGACACACAGCTAGTAGCTTTCTGTTACTGTTTTAAAATACCTGATATAACTGATTTAAAGAAGGAAAGATTTGGGCCGGGGATTTAGCTCAGTGGTTCGGTGGCCTGCCTTGCAAGCACAAAGACCTGAGTTCAATTCCCGGTACCAAAAAAAAAAAAAGGAAAGATTCATTTTAGCTCTGGTTTCAGGTGTTTTGGTCCCTGGTCACTTGGCCTTGTAGCTTTGCACCTGCTCTGGAGCAGTACTGTGTATCAAGGCAGGAGTCTGTGGGAGAAGGCCACTGGCAAGGAAGCATTGAGAGGGCGGGAACCAGCTGGCATCCCAGTGTCCCCTTCGAGAGCACTGCCCAATGAATTCCCCTCCTGAAGTCCCACCTTGGGACTGGGAACAAGACTTCAACGCACTGGTCTTTGAGGGGCAGGAAGGGTCCAGACTACAGTGGCCAGGTTCCTCCTTTTTGCTGCTCGATGCCCATTTTTCACAGACACCCTGAACCTTTAGATCTTTGAGTGGCATCAGCAGCATTTCCTGGTAGCCTCTGCCTCCCCACTGCTGCCTTCTTCCCTCTGAGACTGGTCCCGAGTAAGCTGCAGTGGCTTGTCCTTGCAGGTGGCAGTGACCTTCGAAGACGTAGCTGTGCTCTTTACTCGGGAGGAGTGGAGGAAGCTGGATGCTCTGCAGAGAAACTTGTACCGGGACGTGATGCTAGAGAATTACAGGAACCTGGCTTCCCTGGGTAAGGAAATTCCCCACAGAGACTGACTTCAGAAAAGTGAGGTCTCAGTGCTTCCTTCCCTGAGTAGCAGCTGTTGATCATCAAAACATTAGCTGAGTCTTGCCTTAAGATTGTACAAATTGGATGTGTACAAATAAATGTTGAAAGCACCCACCCTGCTCACAGGCATGGAATGGACTGTGTACAGGAACAGAGGGCGTTGTGTCGGGAATCGCTCCCTGCCCTCAGTGTAGTTGCCCACAGGAGATGTCTTCACGTTCCAGGTGTCTTTTCTGCACAGAATTCTGTGGTTCCTTGGCTCATCTCAGCAGAGGGTTTATTTGTTCAGTCTTGGACCTGCACTTGCCTGTCCTAGGGGTCATCACAATCTCTCTAGAAAAGACCAGGTAGTGAATATTTCAGCTTTGTGGGCCAGTTTCTGTATTCTCTTTCTCCTAGTCTCTGGTTTTTTTGTGGTTTTTCAAATTTTTTATTAATTCAGTTTTTGTCTATGATCAGGATTCCCCTTTACCAAACCGAGGGTGATCTCCCTGTTGCAGCAAGGAGAGGATCCCTGGAAGGCTGAGAAAGAAAACCCTGGAGGCACCTCTCTCGGTGAGTGATTAGGCCCGAGGTGCCTGGGTTAACACGAAGGGGATGAAGCTTGGCGTGTTGGCTGGGCAACTTCTTCGGCTTCTCGGTCCTTAAGAAGAGGGAAAGGCAAAGCCTGGGCTCCTAGACATGTGCTTCCTCTCACTTTCTTGTAGTCACTTCTCAAATGAATATCTCAGGGTCTCTCTTCTTCTTATTTCCTGTTGCTTCCCAGAAGGGCAGCATTTTCACGCGCTCTATTTAAGGGACTACAAATGACTCCTCTGGCTAAAGCTGAAGGTAGGTGCAGGAAAAGGAGACGCTGAGGAAAGAAATGAGAGGAGGAAGCTATGTAAGGACCACGTTGCAGCAGTGCTTTGGTGCAGTTCTAAGAGACCAGAACTGTCTCCTGGGTGACTGGAAATAAGTGAAGAAGTTAAACAGCCTATATGAATCTTGAAGTTTAGAAACACTGACCTAAACCAGAAACCATTTAAGTTTCCTTCAGTAAAATAGCTGAAGTAACTGTGCTATGTCCTTACTGTGAAACCCCTCACCACACTTAGAAGGAAGAGCACACGGAGGTGGACAGAGCTCCAAGGGACGTTGAGGAGTGAAGCACATTGTGGAGTGCTACTAAAATATGTCACTGTTTAAAGACATGGACGCGTGTGTCTGTGTACAGTGTAATGCTTCTGGGAACAGAGCAAGCGTAGGAGGAAGCCGGGTAAGCTTAGGGGGATACAGCTTAGCTGGTAACAGTAGTTACTTTTGGAATGAATCTGATGTATAGGGGCTTTATTTGCATGTAGTGTTTTAATTTTTCACAAAGTGGGCATATGTTCATGGAGTCCTTTGGGATTTGAAGTTAATGAGAGTAGTCACTTTGAAGCAATGTGGAGGATAAATTTAAAGCGAGGCAGAACTGGAGGTGAGAAGCCTCCCAGAGACATTGCAGTCTTGTAAGCCAGAAGCTGCTAAGGCCTGGACAGAGGCGCCCACCATGGGGATTATGGGGAACAAGGAGGAGCCAGCCTGAATAGGGCACAGGAGGAGGTCAGTGCAGGACGGTTTTCATTTGAGATGAGTAGAGATCTCTGGTGGACAGGTTTATAAAAGATGGATTGGAATTCATGGGATGGTCAGGGAGCTTTCCGTCTGTAGGTGGTATTTGCAGCCTTGAGCTGACCAGGTGAGAAAACAGAGCAGAAGATAGAATCCAGGAACTCCTGTTTACCAGGTGGTTAAGAAAGAGGCATCTGTGACTGGGCCTGAGATGACATGGTCAGAACAGAGAAATGGGAGAGTTGACTGTGGATAGATGGCTGTTATGGCACTCCCAGGCTGAGGGTGGTAATCCGGGAGGCTCTGGAGCTGGAGGCCCAGCTTGTCCCCTCACCTACCCCTTCACTGTTGATAATGCTGGGTGAACTCCGTGCCAGGTGTTGGCAGGGCAGGAGGAGATGCAGGTCCTGCCCTTTTGGAGCTCTAGTTTCACTGTGCAAGATGAGGGTGGAGACACTAAACACCCAGGGTATGGCATGAAAAATTCTGTCGAAGACCAAGAAGAAAGGGCACAAAGTACTATGAGAGTACAGAATTGGAGGGGTGCTGGCAGGAGGAAGGCCAGAATCCATACACACCCCCATGATCAGTCATCCTCCAGATGCCCCACTTCTGAGCATGTGAGACTCTTAGGGAATATTTAGATCCCAGCCATAACAAGGCAAGGCTCCCACCAGGATGGTAGCAGTAAAGGTAGGAAGAAGCAGGTGGATTTGAGACATGTTAAGATTGGAGAATAAGAGGTTTTGGTAATTGATTAGATGACAGTGCTAAGAGAAAGAGAGGTGTCAAAGACACCTCTTAAGGTTTTGATTGAGAAATAGGGTCACTGTTAAAAGCAAGAGGTTAAATGGGTCATAGGGAATAATCATGAATCTGATTCTAAGCACGTTGACTTTGAGGTACCTTGGAGACGCAAAGTTGCTGTTTGGAGTAGATGGTCTTTATAAGCAGAAGTGGAAGAGACAAGAGAAGAAGTGGAAGAGCGATTGAAGTCTTACCTCAAGTGCAAATTTGTAATTGAAGCTGGCCCCTGGTGCCATGGCTGGTGTGGCTGAAGGGTTTATAGAGTGAGAAACATAGGTGAAAGATTAAGAAACTTAAAGAATAAGACAAAGAAGACAAAGACAACTGTAAAGTTTACATAGCTGAGGCCAGATGGAAACTTTTTGTCCTGATGAGACAAAAAGCTTAGCTTGTATCCTCAGCGTCTTTATTTATAGTGTAGATAAGGAAACCGAAAAGGGATTCTTGATTGGAACAGGCTAGGGTCTGCAGGAGACAATGCTTGATGCTCCTCTGGCGAATGGATGGGAAGGAAGATTGTCCTCTTCATGGCCAGGCACACCCTCCTTGGGAGGACGCAAGTTAGGCCTGGCCATAGTGATGTATAGCACATCACTCCCAGCACCCTGGAATGAGGCAGAATGACAGAATACCTAAGGAACTCTAAATAAAGAACAGGTAGAGGAAAATGACTGCACAAAGTTGAGGCTTGTGGAAAATGAGAAGAGCAAGGAGGAAGTATGCAGTTACAGTAGCTTAGGAAGAGAGTGCCTCAGAGGAAGTGAAAAGTCACTGTCAGATGCTCCCTAGAGATGAATTAGGTAAGAGCTGAAATGTGGCCTTTCTTGGCTACATGACATGGAGGTCATAGTGGCCTTAGAAAAGGTAGGTAGAAGTAGAAGTCAAAGTGGAGCTGCTGAGGGGAATGTACAAGTACAGAACACATATATAGAAATATAGTGAAAGGGAGAAAACTACCTTTAATTGGATTGAAATGAGTCAGTAACAATATTTGAAAATTTTCGTCTCTACATGTACATGTATTTCTCTATTTTTCTTCTCAGATTATAGTATAAAATATTCTGCCTTTTGTATATTGAAGCTCTCCCCGTGTTGGTACAGAGAGAGCTTCCTCACACTGGCAAATAGTCCTGGGGCTCCAGATGACTATTTTTGCCTGTGAGAACAGGTGGTCTTGATGTGCTTTTCATGATGTTAGTCCAGCAGGTCTACTTTGTGCTAGGATTTTTTAATTACTATGTTTGCATATTAGCAGTCTGAAAAGTGATTTGAAGCTATACCTTTGTTGTGTGCTAATGTAAAGTCCCAGTGTATTAGAGTCAGCCCAAATGCCGAACAGAGAAATCTAGTTGAATAAACTGTGCTACATCCACACGATGGAACTCCATGAGCTATAAAAAGAAATCAAGAAGACTCTTATAGCTGGGATTAAGCTCAGTGGTGCTGCTGCCTGCCTCGTAAGTGCAAGGACCCGAGTTTGATCCCTGGTACCCCCCCAAAAAAATACTCTTATAAAATATCCCCTCAGTGGGGTGATCTCTACAATATATTAGTAGGAGAGGAAACGTACAAACAAAACAGTAAATATAGTACTATCATCGAAGACAGAGTGGGTAGTAGCAAAACAGTACTTTATATTTAAAAAAAGAACAAAAAAATAAATAAAATCAGATCACTAAAAATGGTTACCTGTAAAGAAAAGGAAGAAAAACAATGTTGGGAACAAGAACAGAATCTAGAATTTTTTGAAGGTTTCTTGTTTTTATCATTTTGACTTTTGAAATATAAAAACATTTCTTTATAAACCAAATAAAATGAGAAAATGACTCTTAAATATTGAAAACTTATGAAACAAATGACCCTAATTGTGTTTCTGATTGGTAGCTTAGCACTATAGAGAATTATTTCAAGTTCCTTTATAGGACAGCAGTTTATTTGTAGTTTATATCCTAAGGGCAAAAATAAGTGTAAACAATAACATTAATTTTGGTAGAAGTGATAAATAGTTCAATACATTTTTGGCTAAAGTGATTGATGTCCGGGATCTGCTTCAGCATAATTTGGTGGAAGAGATTTGGGGATTTACCATAACAAAGTACCACAGTAACAGTAGTCGGTATAGAATAAAGTGGTGTAAAGCAATAGAAATTTTTTATTTCACAGTCCTGGAGTTCCAAGCTCGAAGTATTGGCAATGCCCCTGAGCACTAGGTAGAATCCATCCTTGTTTTTTCCTGGTATATATGGCAACCAGAAATCGTTGAGGTTGCCACCCTTGCACCTGTATCAATCCTGTTGCCCCCCACACCTCCATATTGTATTCTCTGTACATGCCCACAGCCATACTTCCCCATTTTCCAAAGGTACTTATCATTGAATTAGCTTCTGCCCTAACAATCTGTTCTTTAATTAAATCTGCAAAAAAACTCATTTCTAAATGGGTTCAGATGTTAGGACTTTAACATATTTGCGGGTTGGGAGTGACGTAAGTCCAACCCATAGTTAGTTATAGATGAAATTTTGTTGGTCGCTGTTGAAGTTGGCTTGGGGATTCATTATATGTTACTCTACTTTTGTAGAAGCTGTTAATTTTCCTTACATAAACGATTGAAAAATTGGTTGCCAACAAGATTTAAACTAGCATTTCTCTTCTACATTATAGAAGATGTTTACAGATGTGCATATCTACGTAGTGGTATAATTCCCAGCATATAGCTCCCTCATTCTCTAACTCCACAAGTCTTGCGAAACTGAAATGCAAGTGATCTTTTTATAGGAGTGACTTTGAATCTGACTGGCCGTAGGATAAAGTGAGGAGGGAAGCGTAGGATATAAGTCTGGAACATTGGCTGGCTTTAAAAAGATTGACACTGCCTTCAGTCAGTGGGTCCTCTTTTAAAATCCCATTATAGATGTTGGAAAACTCCAACTAGCACCCATATCCCTTCCCTACCTGGTCCTTCCACTATCTAAGGATCCTTGGGATGCTGTTCTAAGCTCCTGTTCACATCCAATTCTGCCTGTGTTTTTGTTGTAGGGGCAGTCACACTGTGTTGTGATTGCTTATTGATTTCTTCACTTGAATGCCAAACTGTGGACTCCTTGAAGAAATGAACTTTCTTTTCATTACCAGATCGGTAGTGTATTGTAGAT